CCCACCACCACCACCAAAAACGACAACTACAACAACAACAATCACATCAACATCAACAACACTACCGTTACTATTTTTTCATCTTATTTTATTTAGCTTAGACTTTGTGTGTAGGGTGCAGGATTTTTGAAAAAAGGAAAATATTATGTAGACTTGAGTTTCCATGTATTGATATGTTTTCTTGTTTTCTCCTCTAATCTTGTACATCTAGGGAATACATTCGATCATTTTTTATCGAACGACTATTTTCTATTTTCAATTCTTCATGTGCCATAATGTCTGTCGACGATGTAAACTCCGACTGAGCTCGTTACACTAAAACATTGATTTTTAGATTGATGGAAAGCTTAACAACTTAAGTTAACGCTTAATTTTGCGGTATTCTAAGGAAGTCAAGCAGCTGCATAATAAGGGAAAAGTTAGACTGGAACCAACAGGGTAAAAGAACAAGGTGACGATCACGTGGAACATGGAGTAGAGTCACGGATATGGATGTACAGAAAATGTGGGAAGACATGGAGTGACATCAAGCGCCTAGCCCATGATAGGGAAAGGTGGAAAGTACAGGTGATCCAAAAAACTGTACAGCTTGTTTTGTTAATATCTTCATTAATACTGAAGTTTTTCGTTTCGGATTCGAACATAATATTTTGAAACCAAAAGGAATTTGTCTGATTTCATTTTAGATGCGTCCATTAAATGGTTTTGCTCTATATGGCGCTAAAGAAAAACAACCCATTTTCAACCGTGAGCCCATTTTCGTAGCATGACGCACAATATTGCAGGCTATTGCAGTCTAACAAGTCAACAGAAGTCTGCAATATTATTTTTCCCGAATTTCGTTTGCCTGTTGAGATCATGGTTAAGTTTTGTAAAGAGCAGAGAGCTTTTTGTATTAAACATTACCTCTCCACAAACTCACCATTCTTGATATTTCATAAGTTCTGCGCACGGAATGGAAAGAATGCTTAGGTGCCCTCAAGACCTTTGGTTTCATGAGCAGAGAACTTCCGTCAGTATGGGTCTATAGAGAATCAGAACTAAACATTTCCTTAAAAATGACCTCTTCAGGTCGAACACGCACCATGTGCAGGCCTTTAAACGTCACCAGGGTGCAGATTTCAGTAGTTGGAGTCTCATGAGACGTCTGTTCGAAGACGATTTGCAGCTAGGACATTCCTACATCTCAAGAGTCTGCATTCTTTTGGTAGATCTTAACCTACGACTGTACGGTACCATTTTCATCTTCACTGGGCCGAGATAACATGGGTCAGAGCATGGCAATGTGCTTATGGTTCCTCAATTGTCTTGAAAACCGGGATCATTTCCTTTATTTTCACCCTTCGGGATATGATAACTCCAAATATGTTGTCTATTGGACACACCATTCCCTAGTCTCTAGAAGCCACTTCATTTTGAAAGTGTACTGTGTATGTGGCTTTAAACACTCATTAATTAGCAGGACCCTGTGTTTGGGCGCCATTGAACATTTTGAACGAGGCGTTAGAAATTTGACGAGTCCAAAGGAGGGCACATAGAGCACTGCTTCTAGGAATTCTAGAATGAAATCGTTAGTTGTTTTTTTAAACTCTGTGAAAGAAATCAAATACTATTTAAATGTTACAGGAATGAAAAATTGATTGTTAAAGAGAAAATAAAGAAAAGGTCAACCCATTCTTTATAAATCTTAACAAATTGGAGAACTTCCCAGGGTTTTTTTTCTTTAACCCATTTCTGTGGGGGGGTTTTAAGTTTCTTCTTCGTGGATTTTTTGTTAAAACTAATTTCTTTGAAATGAATTATGCCTGTACCAATCTAAAGCATTCTAGAACAATTTTTGTGCGATTTATTCAGAAAAAAGTTGTACAGATGTTGGTTTTTTTATAACCATGTATTTGTTCGTGGCCTGTATCCTGATCCAGGGTGAGAAAGGCAATGATGATGAACCTTGCAGTATACTTTGTATAGTGCAGTGCAGTGAAAAATTTGAGGCGCGACTTATCCCCAAATATCTTTTTAGCGGGTGAATTAATGTCGCCCATACTTTGCACAGCTGTTTGTATCAATTTGTCTTAACTTAATCATACTTTCCCATAACATTTGAGGCTAGGTTAAAAAAAAAATTCTTCGTAAATCTATATAAAATACCGCAAGAAAATGGAATTGTTCACAGAGCTTCCCGCTTCTCACATATTTTGCGTACGCATATGGCCTACGTCACAGCTCATTCACGACATTTTTAGTGCCAAAACTATTTACAAGAAATTAATTCTAAAGTGAACACTTTTTTTGCACTAGATCTAGAAGTTTTCAATAAACACAATCTCGCAATTCGAAAAAAAAAATGAAGACTTACTTTTAAAATCGATATTGTTCCAGCTCCCTTTCAAATCTGAAGAAACCACCCTTTGGTATTTTAAAATAAGCATTTAAAGCAATTTTCTAGAATTGAGCTAACATTTATTTACAAAAGCATGGATCTATTTAGACAAATTGATACAAGTCACTGTGCAAAAACTGGAGAGTATGTTCTATAGTTGAGGAGATATTTTACAATGAGTTGCGCTACGATTTTTTTGACCGCACTATAGTGTAAGAGCCACGGAATAATTGAATATTATTTTTGCGTGCTGAAGTTATTTATCTGCTGATGATTCTGCATTTGATTTTATTCAGGTTGGCCCTGACAGGCAGACTGAAAAAAAGCTAGCATTCTAAGTAATTCCAATTGTCCCTTTCGAGGAGTAATTAGTATCAAAATATTTTCAATTATCTTTTTTATTGGGGGATTAGGTAAGGATTTCGCCTCGACATTTTCCATCTCAGATGCTGCCGCAAGATCTTAGGCATTTTGTGGCGGGACAGGGTTACAAATGTTGAAGTGTTGGCACGCGCAAACCTCCAGAGCATGACAACTGTCATGTGTTTAAAAATATTGCGGTGGCTGGGTCATGTCAAGAGAATGGAAGACAACCAGAT